GTAGAGTCCTCCTAGGAATCACATTCCTAAAGGATAATGGTTATCCTTTAACTCCCTCATTACTGCTAACCAAGTGAGATCATTTAAACCTCATACCTTGGCTCAGTAGCACACTCAACCGAGCTAGCATGGCCCTGCTCTACGCCGGACAGAACCAAGACGGTATTCGGCCGAGACAAACTTCAGTCTAGTACACTACAAATAATACCCCGATTCGAGCTGCTATTTACATCTAGTCCATCTGTTCTAGTCCTTGGACCTCAAGACCGAGCTATTGAAGCTCTTAGCTCGAGCAAAAGCGTGCCCCAACAAACTGAGAATTCTACTCAGCTCGGCCCAAATGCTTAAAACAAATAGACCTAGCTCGACCTAGTTTATGCATATAAATTACCCTCTCAAAATCATTTTTAACAAAGGAACTTTTTTGTTAGCATCATCATATTTGTACATCTCAAACTCAAACAATATTTGAAAATAACAGAGTTAAACAGTCTAATTTGTGACAAGTGGAAAACAATGAATCAAGCTTGGAATTATTTCCAAGTTGTGATATTCCTAGGACTGTAAGAAAAAATTGGTGAACCAAGCTTCGAGATCAACTGAATTTTAGTTTTTGGTACCGGATTGAAAATAAATTACTATAGCAAAATGATTTTATATTTTGATTATATAAGTGTTAAAAAATAAGCAATTAATGCTAAAATAAAAAGAAGAAAAATAATAAATTTATAAAGAAATCAGCATTTTTCTTCATTTATTTATTTATTTATTTGGGTGAAATTTTATACTTTGACTAAATATTAAATTTTTCCCTCAATTGGAGTGAATCAAATATATTTCTACCACTTTTCTCGGACCCATTGAAACCTCAGCCGGAGTAGAGAGCAAGACAATTCTCTGTTACTAAAAACTCGAGATGGATCCAAATCAACTGCACTAAAGCCAATTGATTGGTTTTTAATTTAAATTATTTGTCTATTTTCATTAAGTAAAATTAGCAAAAAATTGACACGTTAATTATTAAACTTAATATTGGTGTACATAAAATATCTAAATTTTTTTTCGTTCAGTTTAATAATTAAATACCCTTTTTTATCAATTTTATTTAACAAAAATAGAAAAATGGTTTATATTGAAAATAATCAAAATTTTAAAAATAAAAAACTAAAGATTCATTTTATTAAAAGGTCAAACTTTGAATTATTATTATTATTTTTTAAGGCTCTATTTGATTAGAAATAAATAAATGACGAAAAGAGAAAATAGTATAAAGTGAAGTAAAAAGAAAGAAAATAAATTTTCTTGTATAAATTTAATTTGGATGAAAATTTGCAAGAAAATAAGAATCCTAATTATAAGTAACTACTTTTACAACAAATTTAAATTTTCTTGTATTTTTTATATTTTTTTGCAAGAATTACAAGCTTAGTTACCATCCTATTATGTGTTGTACAAGAAAATTGACTTTCTTGTAACTTTCACCACTTTCATGCTAAACAAATTTTGAAAACAAATTTTTTTTTTCAATTTCCTTCATTTTCTATTATATTCATCCTAACCAACATAAGCATTTACCTTTTTATTTAAAATAAGGCCATTTCCAATGTTGTACCAAATCTATCACCAAATCTATCACCAAATCTATCACCAAATCTATCACCAAATCTATCACCAAATCTATCACCAAATCTATCACCAAATCTATCACCAAATCTATCACCAAATCTATCACCAAATCTATCACCAAATCTATCACCAAATCTATCACCAAATCTATCACCAAATCTATCACCAAATCTATCACCAAATCTATCACCAAATCTATCACCAAATCTATCACCAAATCTATCACCAAATCTATCACCAAATCTATCACCAAATCTATCACCAAATCTATCACCAAATCTATCACCAAATCTATCACCAAATCTATCACCAAATCTATCACCAAATCTATCACCAAATCTATCACCAAATCTATCACCAAATCTATCACCAAATCTATCACCAAATCTATCACCAAATCTATCACCAAATCTATCACCAAATCTATCACCAAATCTATCACCAAATCTATCACCAAATCTATCACCAAATCTATCACCAAATCTATCACCAAATCTATCACCAAATCTATCACCAAATCTATCACCAAATCTATCACCAAATCTATCACCAAATCTATCACCAAATCTATCACCAAATCTATCACCAAATCTATCACCAAATCTATCACCAAATCTATCACCAAATCTATCACCAAATCTATCACCAAATCTATCACCAAATCTATCACCAAATCTATCACCAAATCTATCACCAAATCTATCACCAAATCTATCACCAAATCTATCACCAAATCTATCACCAAATCTATCACCAAATCTATCACCAAATCTATCACCAAATCTATCACCAAATCTATCACCAAATCTATCACCAAATCTATCACCAAATCTATCACCAAATCTATCACCAAATCTATCACCAAATCTATCACCAAATCTATCACCAAATCTATCACCAAATCTATCACCAAATCTATCACCAAATCTATCACCAAATCTATCACCAAATCTATCACCAAATCTATCACCAAATCTATCACCAAATCTATCACCAAATCTATCACCAAATCTATCACCAAATCTATCACCAAATCTATCACCAAATCTATCACCAAATCTATCACCAAATCTATCACCAAATCTATCACCAAATCTATCACCAAATCTATCACCAAATCTATCACCAAATCTATCACCAAATCTATCACCAAATCTATCACCAAATCTATCACCAAATCTATCACCAAATCTATCACCAAATCTATCACCAAATCTATCACCAAATCTATCACCAAATCTATCACCAAATCTATCACCAAATCTATCACCAAATCTATCACCAAATCTATCACCAAATCTATCACCAAATCTATCACCAAATCATCGAATAGAAAGTAATTTTTTATTTTTATATATTAATTAAACTTTTATTAATTTTGTAATGATTTTATAATTTTTTAATTAAAATATGCCATTTGCCAAACTATACCTAGGATAATCATATCCTCAGATTTGACTGCATACGTATGAGCAAGAGGGGTTAAGCACGGCGTGCAGGCCACATTGCGTAATTACACAATTCACAAGATGTGGTTGACAATTTATCTTAGGGAAAAAAATTATATTTTGATGAAGGTGCAATTCTTCTATGTGTATGATAGTAAATTTATTTTTGGACTTGATGTAATTCTTCTTGTATGTTAAAGTTGCGCAACAAAAAAAAATAAAATAATTTGTAATGCAATTTTTTTCCAACTAGTTCATGTATTTGCAATTTATCCATTATTTTAGTACTACTAGTTGTGTTATTTTAACGAGATTTTAAATTAATAATTATTAATTTAAATTATAGATTATATTTTTTGCGTTACAAATTTTTAAAAATAATGGGCAAGCTATCAATTAATAAATAGAATGAAATATTCAACTAATATTTTGTTTGTTTCACCTGAAAAGATTTTTGAATAAAAAGATTTTTTATAGAAAATATTTTTTTTTTGCATATTTAAAACTAAGAATAAATTACACTTTTTCCTCTTTATGTTTAGTTATTTTTTACATTGGCCCTTAAAGTTTATTTTCTTCTACTTTGACCCTTAATGTTTCAATTTTTGTTTTCTCAATTTACTCATAAAACCAACTTATGTCTAAAATTAGACAGAAATTGACGCATTGATAGCCAATGTGATATAAAAATATGTTTTTTATATATAACCAATAACTCAGACACAAATTCAAATATTAATATAATAATATATATTTTTTATATTATGTGGCAGTTAACATAACATTTTCTATCTAGTTTTGAACAGAAATTAGCTTTAGGAGTAAATTGAGAAAAATTTGAAATATGACGGACTAAAGTGGGAAAAACCAAACTTCAAGGGCCAAACTAAGAAAATGACCAAACATAAAAGGACAAAGTGGAATTTATCCTAATATATATGTATGGTTTATGTTTATATATACATATTCTTCTTTGTTTTTCTTTATTCTCTCTAGTATATATAAATTTTTAGACAATAATTCAATATAAAATATAGGGTTAATTACACTTTTTATAAGTAGTTTGACTTAAATTTCACTTAGTACCTATAATTTTAATTTGCACAATTTGGTCTACACACTTTAAGTCTATTTTTTTGGTCTAAATTGGAGGTTAAAATAAATAATTTTGGGATATTCGTCAATTTTTAATGTTTTGCTTTGGTTCTTCTGTCTAAATTGGAGGTTAAAATAACAATTTTGAGACAATTATTAATTTTTTAAAGTGTACACGTAGACAAAATAAATTAAAAATTTTAGGCACTTGTTAATTTCTAAGGTTTCAATTTGGATTTTTTTGTCTAAATTGAAGGTTAAAACTAACAATTTTTAGACATTTGTCAATTTTTTAAGGTGTACACGTAGACAAAATTAACAAAAATATAGACAAAAGAACCAAATTGAAATTAGACTTAAAGTATATGAATTAAATTGTTCAAATTAAAATTATAAAGACTAAGAAAAGTGTAATTAATCCTTTTTTTATATGTATTTTATTTCTTATGTCAAATCTTATGCCTATTTTTGTTGCCAATTCATTGAACAATCAAAATTTTATTTTATAATTTACTGTACAAATTAACTATAAAGAAATTAGACTTTACAAGAAGAAATGTCACATTTTATCCTAGTGATAAACACAAAATATAATTATATAAAAGTTTTTGTATCCACATTTTAATTTTTGAAACAATTATATCAATTAATTAGATTTTTTTTGTTTGTTTGTGTGTGTGTGTGTTTTTTAAATAGTCTAAATTAGAAAATTTATAAGTTTAAATTTTTGAATGTCAATCTTAAAATAAAAATTTAGAGTGGCCACTGCAAACAAACAGGAGCTAAATAAGTAAAAATAAAGTGCAATCAATTACTCTTACAATTATCATCTAGATCAAGAAGAAAATAAATCATCATTAGAATATGTAATAAAAATGAAAGAAAGGGAAAAAAAAAATGGTTATTTGCTATTATCCTTCCTCATCCTCTCTCTTCATAGAAACTTTACTTTACGTTGACCAGGTTCTAAGCACCAAAGTATAACTTGAGGGATGTGCTCTATTTTCCAATAATCCCTATCTTGTACTTCTCGATTTAACTTTGAAATCAATTTCTTAGACATATCACCAAGCTCAAACTTTTGAAGATTGGTTAGATGTTCGATGCCTAAGGGGACCTCCTCCATCAATTCACTATTTTTGATCTTTAGAATTTCAAGGTGGGGCATTGCTCCCTCCTCCACTCTTACCCATCTCAATCCTTTTAATCTACGAAGATGTAAATCTTTAAGCCTGTGAAACCCTCCTGCCTTGAAACACAGTCCCTCCCCTTCGTATGCTGCATGAAGTTGAAGGTCAACCAAATTGGGTAATTCTTGTAGGGATTGCAAAGGATCATTCATCCCTCAACTTGCTCCACCCTAAAATTAAAGACACAAGGCCATGGAGAGAAGGTATCCAGTGCGGAAACTTCTCCAAACGTCCCAGCAAGCGTATCGTTTGAAGAAATTGAGGAACCGAAGACAGAGATTGGAGATCAAGGATCTCATCTTCTTTTGTTGACATTACATCTAATCTGTGAAGATTATTGAGCTTCTCAATGGAAGAGCACAGAGTCACCCCATCTTCTCTTCTTAACTTCATAATGCCTAAAGTCCTTAGTTGGGTTAGCTTCCCCAGATCTTTTACTATACTTATCCCACCTCCACTTCTTTGGTCTGCCTCTATCATGAACAACGCTTGTAGGGATTGCAAGCTTCCTATCTTAGATGGAGCTTTAAAGCCACTGGCATCTATAAATTCAAAGGAAACGCGTTTATCTTTATAATGATATAATAGAAGATTGCGCAAATTTTGAAGCCTTAGGATTTCATCAGGCAACTCAGTCACATAGGTATATGCTAGATCTAGGGTCTCCAAGTTCTCGAGCTTTCCGATTAATTTTGGGACCATCTTCACTTTTGTAGCCCTCAAGCTTAGGTACCTGAGATGGATCAGTTTGAAAACTTCATCTGGAATTGTATCTAATGGAGTACCTTCCAAATCTAACACATTTAACAGCCTCAAACCACATCTAAACAACTCACGCAAGGATGCAATAGGCAATGAATCCATCACCCCCCATACAAATAGAGAACGAAGTCGAGAAAAACGATCGCTATATTCTACATTATCCGAGGTGCTTCGGATCATTAGGCGACGGACCTTCTCTGGCGACCTTAAGCCCTGTCTACAAATGGTTGTTACAATGTTTTGCTCTCTCGCCTTTGAAAGAATAATTTCACGCATCAGGTCGTGAATACGGAAATTATAAGGCCTTCCATCTGGATTTCTCCTTACCACTTGAATCAGGCTCCTATTGAATAGCTCACCGAGGTAGCCATTTGCAACTTCTTCTTTTGTCTTCCCCTCAATAGCATTCACAAATCCTTCTGCTGTCCAAAGTTGAATTACTCTATTGCACGATATCCGTTGATCCTCCAGGAAAATGCTCAAATACAAGAAACAAATCTTCAGATAACAAGGTAGATCATTGTAACTAAGAGAGAGCGCTTTTTTCATACTCTCTAGTTTATCATTGCCCTCTAATTCGGCACCAAGGCTGCGATAAAGCATTTCCCATTCGTCTATTCTGCTTCTGTCCTTTGTAGCCAAAACACCACTTATCGCTACAATTGCAAGTGGCAATCCCTCGCATCTTTTTAAGATTCGAAGAGAAATTTGCTTCAAGTTTGGAGGGCATAAGTTCCCCCGAAAAGTCTTGTTGCAAAACAGCGTCCAAGACTCCTCTTGGGACAACGGCATCAAGGGATACACATGACCATCAGTTTCTTCGCGACAGGTGGAAGCTATATCGGCGAAACGAGTTGTGATAATGACACGACTACCACAATTTTTGTCAGGTAGCATGTATTTGATAGCCTCCCAATCTTTAACACTCCAAACATCATCGAAAACAACCACGTACCTCTTTTGTTGCAAAAAATTATTAACCAGATATTTCAACCTGTCGATGCTCATAGTTTCAACTCCAACAGGGACTGGTTGCATGATTTCTTCAAAGAGTTGTTGAATCATGTCCTTCAGGAGATCCTCAGCCTTGAATGACTCAGAAACATTGAGCCAAGCATGGCTATCAAAATGTTTCTTCACCGTTACATCATCGTAGACTTTTTTAACCAGAGTGGTTTTGCCTAAGCCCCCCATTCCCACCACAGAAACTGCTTTAAACCCAGAACCTCCCTCGACTAGCCACTCCATCAATTGTCTTTTGGGCTTTTCTATGCCCACTAGCTTTGCTTCTTCGAGCAGAAGTGCATCGCCACGATAATCATACCATGAATTGTCAACAACATTGGACCTTGAGCCTTGCTCTAGTATACCATATTTATCATGGTATCTTTTATGTCCCTCGGAAATATTGATGACCCTGGACTTGATTCTTTGAATTTCAGAAGCAATTTGGTGGCGAGCTATTAAAGTCTTGGCAAAGTAGAAAGATTTACGAAGGAAACCACCAAATCCATCGCCGTGATGTTGTGCAAGGTGAAGCTTGAATTTGTCAAGAACATATTCAGTGTCATAAGCAGCATCTCGGACTTGTTTGACCCAAACTTTCAGTTCGGGGTCCCTTTCTTCCATAGCATCAGCAACTCTGAGGAAAGCCGACATGCGCTGGAATTCATCTCTGATGTCTTCCATTGCTTCCCGAACTCCACTCAACAAATTCACCTCTTCCTGAAGGAAGGGTGCAAAGCTGGCTAGAAGATGGAACACTGCAGTTTCAGCCATTTTCTGTTTTGTGTGTGTTTGTTAGCAGTTGTAGGCTTTGTGTTTGAGGGGATAATTAGGAGGAAATGGTGATCTGAATTGAGTTTCAAAACCGGGAATTTGTTATGCTCAAAAACTCAACTGAGGTTTGAATGATATGATATGTGTGGCAATGCAGGAGTAAATTGATGGTAGCTCATAGTTCTAAATATCGGCCGATACGCTACGTATCGGCCGATACGTATCGAAAAAATGGGGTGCCGCGACGGATACAGGCCGATATACCACTGAGATTAAAAATCGCAGGAGTATCGGCCGAGTCCCGGTACGTATCGGCCTGTAAGCGTTACACAAGCCGCGACGGGCCGATACTCACCGGTTCGGACCGATACGGGAAAGAAAAAGTTGAAAAACCTTTGAAATGATTTTTAAAATTTCACCACCGTGACACCCAATTCCCGATACGTACCGATCGATACTACCGATACCGATACTCCGCGATCGATACCGTTACGTTACCCGATACCGCGATTTAGAACCTTGAGGAATCTGATGTTTCATTCTATAATTTCAAAATTTATTGAAATCTGATGAACATTAGAAGTTTTTCATCCTATATTTTTAAACATTATTGAAATTTGATGAACATTAGATGTTTGAAATCCAATGTTTGTAACATGACTCTGATGTTATTAACATTGTATCTGATGTTATTAACATTGTAATGGGACCTTTCAGTCTATAAGAAAACTTTTAGGATTAAACAGTGCATAAGTTATTAATTTGGGATTTATTGGTGCATCCCCCTTAAAAATACATATCATACATTTTCTTTAAAGGGTTTAAATTAATTTACCGTCACTGCAAATATGCTGAGTCTTTGTTTGGAGTGGGAATGCTCCACGAGGGGATGTTTGTGGTTTAAGTGGTTTCCTTGGTCTTGTTTGGTGCACTTTATGAGTGTTATTTATATAGTTTTTTTAATGTTAAATTTTGATAATTTGTGTCAATGAATAATTTATAAAATTAAAATAATTTAAATAAATTAAAAGAACTAATTATTAAAAAGTTGAGAAAGAATACTTTTAATTTCTATTCTCTCTTCTTCTAATGGGATTCATGTAAGTCTTAAAAGCAATATTATATAGACTAATAAATTTAATAATTTTTACTGACAAATATGACAAAATTAAAAATTTATGATTATTGGATTCACTTAATATTTTTTAGAAATGATATATACGAAGGATTTTTAAAATAAACAATTTAAATAATCAAAATCTTACGGATCTGAACAACTCCCTTTAATCCTGAGGAAAATCCAACTCTAAAAAATTTAAAAAATGACAATTTTCCTCTTGTTTTGTGATTCACGAGGGACTATTTTAAGTCGATCTAGGTAATCTGAAACTTGATCGAAATAAACTTGCAATAGACGCCTAAGTAAAAAAGCTGGACCCATGCCATACCTATCATATCCACTGAAAAAGTGAATATATAGAGGTGGGATAGCGGTAAGGAAAGTTACAGGAATGACAATTTGAACCCGGCCCGACGGGAATCCGACCTCCCAGCTCCGATTTGAGCGATTTTCTCTCGAAAAATATCCCCAACGGGCCAGGAATGGTATTCAAAAATAATCCCCGATCAGTTTCGAGCTGGGGATGGAGATATGTGTCCCAACCCAGTACTCAGCCCGTCCCCATCTATCCCCAAAGTGAAATTACCATTTTACTCCTTTATATATATATAAACCAAACCCTCATCTCACTTTCACTTCTCTCTTTTTCTCAGTCTCACCGCGTCTCTTGTCTCTCCCTCCCTCACTCGTTGACTCAGATCTCTCTGTCTCACCGTGTCTCCTATCTCTCTCTCTTTTACTCACTCACTCAGATTTTTCTCTCTCATTCTCTCATTTTTTATCATCATCAACATCATCCACCACCACCACCACCACCACCACCACCGATTTGAAGCCCTCTACGAAGCCCGTGAAGAAGTGAGAGAACAGTAGCCACCGATCTGAACAGATCTGAAGCAGTGAAAAAGCTCTCCGTCTGTGAAGCCCTCCGTTGCCACCGATCTGAACTGTGAAGCCACTGATTTGAACAGATCGTGGTTCGATTGACGACTTGATCAATGGACAGATTGTGAAGCCCTCTATATATATATATCTGTTGTTGTTGATGAACAATTTTTTTTTTAAGTTGTTATATATATATATATCTGTTGTTGTTGTTGATGATTGTTGTTGATCTGAACAGTTGTTGTGTGTGTGTTGAACAGATTTGTCACCACTGAAAAAGTGAATATATAAAGGTGGGATAGGGATGGGGAAAGTAGGATGAAAGTAGAAAGGAGAGAGAAACAAAATAAGCGTCATTGACTAATTAGTTTAAAAAAAATGAGTCATACCCCCTTTATGGAAGACCACACAATTTTTTTATTGATCTACATTATTCATGATGTGTGGGGCTCACTCATGTATGTGTGGGGTCCACATCATGAATGATGTGAATCACAAAGGGGGTTGTGGGGGTCTTCCAAAAAAGGAGTCTCTATCATTGCTGTTAATTTAAAAAATGAAAAAAAATATATTATTTTAAAAATAAATTATATATTGTTTTAAGTTAAATATAATGTGATTAATTTGATTTTTTTTCTTTATGAATCATCTTCTTTACAAACTCTACACCGTTTGAATCATAAAAAGAGAGTTCACAGTTGGCTCCCATCTTGGCACACATCTCTCCCAATTGTTCCTTGACCCTTAGTCGTCATCAATAATCATGTGAAAAGTATATCAGTTTTGGGCCAAGGCTTTGGCCATAAAATTTTCGTGCCGAAATACTAAAATATTATATTCAATATTTATTTTTATTTATCTATTCCTTTTCAAAAATTATAGAATTCTTATAATTTTGTAAATTATTATTCATAATATATCATATTATTCATAAATTTTATTAGTATTCCCATTTTTAAAATTACAAAATAAAACGGATTTCTTACTCTACTCCTATCACCTTCCAATGTGTCTTGCCCCCAATATAATACAAGGTGGAGGTGTGTGTATCTCATAACATTTGGGATGCGTTTGTTTGAACGGACTGGATAAGGGGGGATTGTAATTCATCGGACTATTAGTCCTGTGATACATTGTCCCGGGACTATTTGGTTGGACTAAATTTGTATCCTATTTTTATTTAATCATGGGATTAGATGTCTAGATTGGACTATTTTTAGTTATCCAATGTTTGTTTGGAATATTATGGAGAAAGATAAATGCTCAAATGATTATTTTATCCTTTTCAATTATTTACCAAGTAATAGCAATATTAAACATAGCTTTAATATTTTAATTATTTTTAGCTAGATTAAATAAAAATTTGTTTTATTTTATTTTTTGCACAATATTTTAATTATTTTAATTTATTATTTTCAATTAAATTAAATTAAATTTATAATTTATAATTAATATTTTTTATTTAATATATAATTTTAAATTAACGACAATAAAAAATAATTTTATTTAATATATAAATTAAATTTTCAACAACACTAAAAAGATTTAATTTATAATATGTAAATTTAATTTTTTAACAACACTAAAAAAATTTAATTTATAAGGCCATAATTTATAATTTATTATTTTTAATTAAATTAAATTAAATTTATAATTTATAATTAATTTTTTTTATTTAATATATAATTTTAAATTAACAACACTAAAAAAATAATTTATAAATGTTCAAAAGACTATTTTATCCTTTTCTAATTGTTTGCTAAGTAATAGCATGGAGGGTAAAATGGATATTTCACAAAATAATCCCATGGGATACCAATCCCATGGTTTCTATCCCACCTCCCCCCATGGGATATGATAGTCCCATATTTGTGGGACTAATAGTCCGGGGGGACTATTAGTCCGGAGTAAAAAAAATGAAACAAACAATGGACTATTAGTCCGGTGGGACTAATAGTCCAATCCCACCCCCTAATCCTTCAAAACAAACACACCTATGAACTTTTTGATATAATTAGTATTTTTAGATCTACTTGTTACATGTTTGCTATGAAATTCTAAAGTAAAAAAAAAAGAGACAAATTTCACTAGTTAACACAGTAAAATATCACTATGTTAACTTAGATAATATAATGTTACTGTTTGAATTTAGTAGTTGAACCACCACACATGTTATGATCACTATCACAGACCACCACGTTATGAGAGAAATTACTATTATTAGAAAAATGTTAAATAAGTTTTTTAAGAGTTTATATCAGACTATTTTATATAATGCTTATTAGACAAGAACAACTTAAACATGTTTAAAAAAAATAATCATTATCTAAAGCTAAAAAAAATAACTATTTTTGACTTTTATTTTTTGATTATCAATTTTCAAATTATGATAAGCTACACTAAATAAACCAATAATATATGGACAAATATTTAGGATGGAGAAAATGCTAAATAAAATAATAAAGTTAAAAAATGTTATACAAACAAATTTCATTTACAATTTTTTCTCATAATATTTATCATATTAATAAATTAGGTACTATTTTATATTCCAAAACTATATGACATTTCATATTACAAAACTCCATCATATTAATAAATTAGGTCTCATTTCATACTCCAAAGCTAGATCATCTTTCATATTCCAAAATTTTATTGTTTCATGTCAGATCTTCAGATAATAAGGCAGATCATTGTAATTGAGAGAGATTGCTTTTTTCATACTCTCTAGTTTGTCATTGCCCTCTAATTCAACACCAAGATTGCAATAAAGCATTTCTCATTCGTCTATTCTGCTCTTGTCCTTTGTATAGCCAAAACACCACTTATCGCTACAATTGCAAGCAGCAATCCCTTGCATATTTTTAAGATGCGAAAAGAGATTTGCTTCAAGTGTGGAGGATATAAGTCCCCCGGAAAAGCCTTGCTTGCAGTAGTAGGCTTCGTGTTTGAAGGGATAATTAAGAGGAAATTGTGAGATGAACTGAGTTTTAAAACTAAGAATTTGTAATGCTCAAGTCAACTGAGGTTTCTGTTGGAAATATGGTTTTTATAGACTTATTTTGGCCTAACTTTGAGCCCAAATTTGAGTGGGTCTCACACGTCTTTTAGGGTGGGTCCAAAGAGGTGACGTGTTCCTTATAGCATGGCAAGTCACACGGTACA